TTTTTTTTTTTTTTTTTTTTTTTTTTTTTTTTTTACTGCTCTAATTTTGGCTGTATATTTACAATTTCTTAGCTCGACAGAATATAACGATTCCAAAGTGATGAATAATACAAACAGATTAAAGGAAAAAAAAGCATATTTGTTTAGAGACGACGACTTTCAAGAAGTCGTTGACCCTCATCATTACTGTGACGTTTCACGGCTTGCGGTGATGCAGTTGATGATAAAGTGCAGTAACCATCTTCGGTTAAATCACCACCATTTCTCGGTAAATATCGTTCACACAGTTTTGCAATAATTGCTGCACCGATACTATCACCATGTACATTCACTGTTGTTCGAATACGATCCAAAAAGAAATCTACTGGATATATTAAAATAAACATATTGGACGGTAAACCCAGTGCGATCAGTACCATTATCATTGTTACAATACCTTGAACAACGGTAACAGTAAGCGAACAAAAAGCGGAAACACGATAGATTTAAAAAGTAAAGTTCTAAAAGAAAAAATTAATTTCTGTTATTATCATTAAAATTACTTTTACTTTTTCTATTTTTCTTTTTTCTTTATTAGCTCTTTATTTTAAGAGAACGATTTTAAATCAACTGTAATAATAGAATGTCATTAAAATGACCTGCTTGTGGTATTCCAGCAGCACCAACACTAGCCAGTGTTGCTGTAAGACTTGTAAGTATTAGCTGACCAGCAGTTAGATTTTTGTCTGCACATTGTGATATATAAATTGCTGCTACAGCTTCATATAAAGCCGTTCCATCCATATTTCTGAAGTCAAAATTTTTCACCTTATTATTTTTAGCTAAACTCAATATTCTTGTAAATATAGCCTACAGTTGTTCAAATAAGCATTTACAGAAAAAATTCTCAATAAAAACTTATAAAAAGTAAAGAAACAATTCAAATCATTGATTCAAATAGGTGCATCAAAAAAAAAAAAAAAAAGAACATACATAGTAGCTCCCAATGGAAGCACAAATCTGGCTACCCGTGAATCAACGCCGTTGTTTTCCTCGACACATTTGATACTTAATGGTAAAGTTGCTGAACTAAAACAAGAGAAAAAACAGCAGTTATACTATTACTTGCCCGCTTTTTCAACCACTTTTTATCCGCACAAATTTTATAAATATCTTTACTGCTGCTCACCTGGAACTTGTTGCTAAAGCTGTTAACAGTGCTTGTGACATTCCATAGACGTATTTGATTGGATTACGACGAGCAAACTAGAAAAAAAAAAAAAAAAAAAAGAAAAGAATCACACGTTACATTTATTATTGATAACTTGTTTAATATCCAAAAATAATTCTGAATTTCCACCCAAACTGACCGTCATTTTACGAAAAACAATTTACTAAACAGTAAAAGAGTTATGAAGTGCTTAACAAAAGTTCTGCAGTAATAAAAAGGAGAAGCAATTGCATAAAAAAGTCAAAAACATACGATTATCATCAAAGTGGGTAGCACAATAAACGCATGTATTGCTAAACCGGCCAATACGCAAATCATATATCCCAGCAAACGATTCAACTCATGTCCCGGGTTTTCCATCCCAATAATCTGTGCAGTGATCAAGAAGAGAACGCCAACTGGTGAGAACCTAAAATATTATAAATCTTTCTTTATATTTTTCAATTATTAAATTTGAAAAACATATTTGTGACCAATTTCCATACTATTAAAAGCTATACCATATCACAAGCGCAATGAGTTTCATGCTAACAGCTTCAAATGATTTGAAAAATGCTTTCAAAGGTAAACCGTCATCGCCAACGACCGAAATAGCAATACCCATCGAAACAGAGAACATTACTAAACCAAGGATATTGGTACCATCTGAACGTAGTACCGTGGGCATTTCCTCAAAATTCAGTCGTTCTTCTGCAATTTGATTTCAGATATGAGAAACGAAGTATTCAGATAACCTTCTTAGTGCATTAATTAGTGTTTCATTGTTGAGCGTGCATTTAATAATTGAACCACAGTAAAAAAAAGTGGGATAAACTGTAATTCACCGTTTCGATTTCTTATATGTTTTTTGATTTTACAGTAATTTGACAGCGTAATTGGCAGTGGTTAACAATTTTTAAAAATTTAAACAAAAGCCGTTTGATTTCTTCCACCAGTATTGATTGTTGAAAATTCTTCATTATTGTGAGCCAGTTTTTAGCTTGAATAATGAAAGCGTTTAAGACTTTAGTTTTCTGCCTGTTTCTTACTTTTTATAAATCTTAAATAACAAAAAAAAAGACAAAAAAATGATTCAGTTTTTTTCTATTCGACTGCTGTCTTCGTGTGAAAATTCAATTTTTTTTGTTCTTTTGTTATGTGGGTGTGTATTTTGAGCACAAACGGAATCATCAGATTTTGTTAAAAACTTTGAAAGTGTGTGTTAATAATGCTAAACAGTTGAAAGTTTCTGACAAAGTCAATAATTTTTACTGTTTTTAAGCACAAATGAATTGCGTCAAAGACGAAAATAAAAAAAAAAAAAAAATTTTGTCTCTTACATTTTCTTTATATTCACTTACAAATTTAGCTCAAAAAATTTTTAGCTTTTATAAAACGTAGCTAAAAGCAATTTTCACTTTTTAAACATCAATTAAACAAACTTTGGGTGTAATACACTATGAGTGGTTACGCAATGTTAACTTAACATCAAAAAGGTTCAGTAAAAAATGATTAAGACACCTAAAATCGATTTCAGACTTAACAATACAGTAGTTTTTTTAAGCTAAAAAGTCGCTTATAATTAACTATTTTTTTCCAATGCAGTTAAGATTAAAATTGAAGATGTTAGACTCACCTGGACTCATCTCCAGCGCTAAACTTGGGTCCACTTCCACTGAGCCATTGTAAAACTTCATACATACTTTTTCCTACAAAATCTTTATGAGACAAATATAAGATTAACGTTGAAAAGATGAAACTGTCTTTTGCACAATCTGTTTAACAGCAGCATTATCAACTGGAAATCAGCAAAATAATAATTAAAAAATTTCCCCTTCTGGAAATTATTTTCTACCAAGCATTATTAGAGCATGCATAAAAGTTTTGCTTTAACGCGCATTAAAGCCAGTGATAAAAAGCTGGATAATAATCGTTTTGACAATGCTGCTGTCAATGGTGATAAAGATGATAACAGTGGTATCATTGGTGGCATTCATCAGAAATTTTAACATAAAACAATTCTTTAACTTTCATAAAAAGCAACTTTCTTCCATAAAAACCGTGTAATAAAACATGCAGAATACTACAACGCAGCGCGTTTTCGATGAGGGTGCAAAATATTGATATTAGAAATTTCGCCAGTTGGCAAACATCTGTTCAGATTAGAAAAAAATTG